CGCAGGGTCCTATCTATATTATGAACTCCGACAAAACATGGGTTTTTGACCAATCAGCTCGTAAATTCAGTTCATCACTCCCACTCTTGCCTCCTACTTTACCAAACTCTCCTCAAACTTTCAATTACTTTCATTTTCACCCGTGTTGTATGTTAAATAAAGGCCCGGGACGGGGGTACTCCCTAGCAATAGGCTAATGGGGATGTGCCGCTGGATGGGGTCACATTTTCACAAGTGGATTGACTATCACGGAGTTGCACTTTCAATAGAGTTACTAGAATGGATTATCAAATTTTCGGGATTTTGAGCGTAGGAGAATTCTGGACGAATGGGAAGATTTGTGGCAAAAAAGTTGTTACTCTATTTAGGGCTGTTGTTTTATTATTTGACAATCGACTCGAATTACATTCTGTTCTTGAAATCACAACTTAAACATTAACCAGTTGTACAATAGTTCTGAACAAAGTTCCCCGAAACATCCGTGCTACGGTATCGAGTGACTATGAGCTGGGGTCTATAATAGACTATAATGGGGTAGGGGTTCTGAGAGGCCAGCGGCACATACCCAGCACCAATGGACTCAGGTAACCCCCTGGAAATAAAGGTCGATGAATAACAAAGGAAAATATGTCAATCATGAAATAACTGTGTATAAAACAACATGAACTTTACACGTAGTGGACGAGACAACAGCCGTGCTTTGAAATTGTTTGTCTTAGCTCTTTTTGTTTTACAATTTGCTTAGACACACGGCTTCCTGGAGCCATTCCTTAAGTAAATACTTTCAAAATTTATCATGCATGTAAACAGAAGCCAGCTTAATTTAACGCATCTGTTACCAACCTTAACTGTCTGTGTTGGAGCACATGCTTCAGGAGCGCTGTAAATCATAGTTCCAGGATTTGCTGTCATAGTCTCTTGCAGGAAATTAGCAGTACCATAATCTGACACCTTGGCTCTCCATTGGTTATCGCGTCGTCATAGCAAAACATTAGGACTACTGATGTCACGATGAAGGATGGGTTTCTTTTTGTGTAGATAGCTCAATGCTCGAGCCACATCCAGAGAAATTGTTAAAACTTCTTCATCAGTAAGAGATCGCTGTTTCAGCAATTGTCGTAAACTTGATTCCATGAGTTCAGTAACGAAGAGAGGACTTCCCTCATCGTTTGTTGCTCCAACGAATTGCAATAAACAAGGATGGCGGCATCTCGAAGCGATGTCCATTTCTCTTTCAAACTTTCTGCGGTTGTAAGAAGAAATAACTTCATTCCCGGAAGACCTTTTCACAGCGACAGTACAGCCACAATACTTGCCCTCATCGACATACCCCCAACTTCCGTCTCCAAGTCGTTTATCTGTTACTACAATTTCATCACGAGGAATTATCCAGTCACGTTTGTCTTGGCATTTACATTCCTGTAATTTTTTCTCAGCTTCAGAAAGAGTTTTATTTCGTTCAACTAAGTCCTGATCTCGGTCCCTCAGCTCTCTCTCTAAGTTACTACTTCTTTGTTCTTTCTCTTTACATCTTTGTTCCATCTCACTCAGTTGTCTTTTTAAATTCTCTTGTTGTTCTTCTTTCACTCTCAGCTGTTGTTCCATCTCTCTCAGTTGCAATAATTGTCTCTGTAAATTTTCTTTTTGTTCGTCTTTCTCTTGCAGCTGTTGTCGTATCTCCGTTAATTGATTTTGTAAGTTCTGCTCTTGTTGGCGTTGTTCTATCAGCTGTGTGTACAAGCTGGCCTCTTGTAACTCTTTTTCTCCCAATTGTCTTCGAAAATTTCTCAAGTGCTGTTCCCTTTTGCTCGATAGTCTTTCTGAGTTTTCTAATTCCTGATTTTTCTCGCTCAGTTGTTTCTCCATTCTTTTCACCTGCCGTTGCAGCTCACTCGCTTGTCGAAGCAAGTTTTCTTCTTGTTGGTCCTCTTCCCTGAGTAGCCTTACTTCATTTAACAGCTGGCGTTGTTGCTCAATGACTGCTGCTATATCAGTTCGGCTGGATTCCCCGGAAGCCTTAACTTTTCTCACTGATTCCCCACCTAGAGAAGATATTAATTTTTAACAAATGTTAAAATAATTATTATCAACCGTAACAGCGAGGATTAATAACGTTTGCGAATTAAAGAAGACATTTCCGTAGCAGCATTAGTAACAAGGATCGTACTCTTTTGAGCTTTTAAAGTTCCGTAACTTCCCATGACCTATTCCATGACCTATCCGAATTTTCCATGACCTATGTAAGCAGTTGTTCCCAACGTACTGTCAAAACAATCTATTATTTAAGGTATTTTCCCACATTATGACGTATAAAATGCGTGCTAGTGTTTATTTTGTACACTGGAATTAAAACCGGTTTTCTGACTCGTTTGTTGTTTCTTCAACTTTTGATTTTTTTTGCCTGTTCATTCTCAGTAAGTATATTACTTTTTCATGACTTTCCACAACCCACACTTCAATTTCATGACTTTCCCGGCCTGGAAATGAAATTGCAAAATTCCATGACTTTTCAGGTTTTTCATGACCCGAGTAAGTTTATCAACGGGGGAGGCACGGGTTTTGCATGAGACAGTAGAGTCTGACAACCGATTCCCAGAAGCCGCTAAAGCATAGATTTCTGAGTCCATGCCTTTTGGGGATAATGACACCTTGACGGTCGATTAACTTTTATTAAAAAATCTCTTTTTTTCGATAACTCGCGCGCGTTTTAGTATTTCATTTTCATTTTCTGGAAAATGTTACCTTAAAAATTAACTTAAATTTGGTTGAAAAAAAGAAAACTTGGCAAAAGTAGCCCCGCGAAGGTTTGGAGTAACCCTTAAGCCTTGGCCTTGTACGATAGTGAGAGCCTCGGTGACTGTGACTCTGAGCTAGAAGGAGCTAGAAGGAGCTAGAAGGCGCCTTTTGACACAAGAATTCTGTTTGCTGAGAATTGGATGTCAATGACCGTTATCGAATTCCAGTGAAGTTTGCGAACTTGAAGTATGTTAGCCGATACTTGCCTAAATTTTTATATTTATAGAAGAGTCGTCTTCTCGGATTAACCTTCAAAAGAAGCTGGATCCAGCTTTGGAAACCTCTAAAAGAAGAAATGTTAAATGTTCCGTGACCTGCCCGCTGCTATAAATTCCTTGCGCTTGCCGACCGCATGTTTGTCGTAAAACCGACTGAACCCCACTAACAGTTTCCATAGGCAATCCCAAACTAAACAATCCGCAAAAATGTTAGGTGAAATTGGCTGTCTTCGTGAACAGTTAAAAGCTAGAGTCAAGTTCTATTACCTTTAAAAAGTACTCGATTTTACTTTGTTCACTCAGTAGTTACTGTCACGTTCGAATACTGTGTATCGGTCACGCCAAAACACTGCAGACCGTGCAGACTGAGTAAGTTTCCCATACAAAGTCTTTTACGCGTTTGTCTACTGAATCAAAAGTCACATACTGCGCTTGTGTGACCTGTGGATAAATGGCAAACTTTCAGATATATTGAACACTATTTTGTAACTAGAGCCAAATAAAAGAGTCAAAATTAAAGGCCCAAACAAGTGTTTGCAGTCTACACGGTCTGCAGAGTTTTGGCGTGACCGATTCGCAGTATTCGAACGTGACAGTAACTACGAAATACGGAGTGAACAAAGTCGACGCAAACAAATAAAATCAAGCACTTTTTAAAGGTAATGGAACTTGACTCTAGCTTCTAACTGTTCATGAAGCCAGCCAATTTCACTTTACATTTTTGGGGATTGTTTATTTTGGGGTTGCTTTTGGAAACTGTCAGTGGAGTTCAGTTGGTTTTACGCTAAACATGCGGTTGGCATGTGCATGGAATTTATTTATTCAAACAAAGTTCTTGTGTTGAAATGCGCCCTTTAGCTCTTTCTTTGACCCTGTAAGATTTCATATCCGGAAATAGTTTCTTGCAATAACGGTTTCGGAGAGATATCACTAGAAAATGTTTCAAAACAACGGAACGTTAAGGGTTTGCTTTTCTTGCAGTAATCGGTTTCGTTAAGGTCAAAGGTCAAAGGTCACGTTTTCAGGAAGAAGTGCTGCATTTAGCTCGCTATCTCAGCGCTCGCAATTTTATTTACCCAAAAATTTTATTTCATTAATTTGAAGAAGAAACGATGCTCTTTCAGACTAAACTAGTCGTTTTGGGAAGAGCCGTGTACCAGAACCCCTTTTTAGCAGTTTGAAAATAGGCTAAATGTAGACGACTTGTTAAGCCGTCTTGGGTCGTTAATTTAGAAAATTCGTCAAATATTTTAGTTCTCATCAAATCGTTATCTATTTAGCTCTAAATATACAACAAAGGAAGTACAAATACGACGTGCAATCAGTTTGTTTTGAAGAGTTTTACTTTTGAGTTTCCGAGCCTCTGAATATGCCGCTCATTTTCGATCGATTTTGTCCGATTTGGGGCATCGAAACGAAACAATTGCGTAAAAAAATAATTTTTGATTTATCGAACTCAAAACAATATTTTTGTAACTAGTGCCCGTAGGGCTTCATTCTGGGCGAGTTTGAAGAAATTCGAT